CACAATGAGCTTATCATATTCGTTTGCTACATTAGTAGGACCCTATGATTTCCGCGATGCAGAAAACATGAACGGAAGTCATAAAAACGGAATTTACTGTATAACACGGAATTTAATGGAATTTGTCTTATTTTTGATGAATAAATAAAAAACAGGTCAGTACATATATATATATATAGACTGTGTCTGTGAATATTAAACTGCAAAAAGACGATTTAAATACGAATGTCCTGCATGTTCATTTGATTACCAGAAAATACATAAAAAATATTATTCATTATTATTATTTATTCATTTTAGATGTTTACATTTGGAAAAGCTGAGCTTCCTGCATAAACCTGCCCCTGTTGGTTTGGCAGTAGCTTTTTTTTGCCCTACACAGTTACCTTGCTTAATATCTTAATTCAAGTTATATATATTTTGTTCTATTTGTGTTATTCAGGTTATTTATAATAAGTGAAGTGAAGTTTACTGTTAAGTGCACTGATGTCAGACTCATTTTGAATAATAAAGTTTATTGTTAAATTGTTAAATACCCTGCCTCCATTACATAGGCCTATGTTTGTCACATCATTATAAGTGTTTGATCACCACATTTGAGTTATCATTGCAAAAAAAAATGTGTTTATGTATATATATTCTGTTTATGTAGGCTATATACTGTATTCTATATACAGTACTAGTCAAAAGTTTGGACACACGAATGGGAAATGTGTCCAAACTTTTGACTATACTGTACTATAATATAGCCTACACATAAAGAATATCGGCCGATATATCGGTATCTGTCTTTTTTTACTCCCTAATATCGGTATCGGCAAAAAATGCAGACACAATTTAATCATTATTCATATTTTGTATTAGATTTTGTTTTATATTTTCATTTTTATTTTAGTTAAAATACAGACTTCAGTTATTATAATATATTATTCTATTTTACATTTATAACATATAATACATATAACATATGTATTATATGTTATTTTATTATGTCTGCTTTTTAACAACATTTTTTGTTGAAGTTCCAGAAAAAGGAACTATATTTTGACCATTGCCATAAAATTGCTTATATGTAAGCAATAAGGTACGAGAGGCCATGCTGTATTGTGAATAAATCACAGCTGAAGGGCATTGTTAGGCACGACGTGAAGCGGAGGGTGGTTGCTAAGGGTGTTGCGCAGTGATACACAGAACTGTTTGGTGAAGCGGTCATAGCCTTGCTTTATCGTGAATAAAACAGCTGCTGACCAATCAGAATCAAGGAGTGGAACTAACCTTTTTATAATATGATATAAATGATAGTATTTATTTATATTTTGAATTAGTTTTAATTGTGTGTTTTTCATATAGTTTTAATTTTAATGTAGATTTGAGTAATTCTGTCTTTTGGTTTTTGTCATTTTTATTAATCTTTTTCTATTTCTATTTAGCTTTAGATTTTAGTTTAAGTTGTAGTAATTGTAGTAATAAACCTGAACTTATTTTATTTTCGTTAGTTGCCAAGAAATAATTCTATATAATAATTCCGTCTAATTCTGTTTTTTTGTTGTTGTTTTATTTCAGCTCAATTTCAATTAATGGTTTTTAATAGCTTTAGTTTTAGTTAACAATAACACTGAGTATAATATATCAGAATTGTAGCCTGAATTGAATGTAAATTCGTAAAAAATGTAATTGTGACTCTTTATTAGCCAGACATTTTATTTAATTGTTAAAAAAAAAAAAAAAAAAAAACTTTTGCCAGTTGAAACAGTCTTAGGAATTCTTCCCTGATTCTAAATCTGTGAATAAATGCAATGGAAGTGTAGTAAAATTCTGCCCCATTAAAACCATACTGCTCTGTGTTTTGTGTCATGTAGGCAGTAAGGAGATGGTTCGTGTGATGAGGCGGAAGGGAATTGAGCAGCATCCGAACTTCCGTGCGGTAAAGCATGTTCCGTTCGATCAGTTCATCCAGCTGGTGGCACATGCCGGCTGCATGATTGGGAACAGCAGTTGTGGAGTTCGTGAGGCTGGAGCGTTCGGAACACCTGTCATTAACCTGGGGACTCGCCAGACGGGTCGAGAAACAGGTGAGATTAGTCTCGAATATGAATTACTGACCTTTACAGAGGAAATTAGGCACTATGGCAGGATATGATTACCATTGAGTACTCTTTATTGTGTTTGCTATTTTACGTCCAGGATGTACAGTAATTGGATCTTTAAAATCAGCATGGCATGTTTATTGTTCTAAACAGGCCCAGAGTGTTTAAGTCTTTAGTATGAGCCTTGATAGACCAGTTTTACCAATTTATGTTATTTTAAAAATAGGAGAAAATGTTCTACATGTGCGAGATGCAGACACACATAATAAAATATACCATGCCCTGGAGCTGCAGTTTGGAAAACGCTACCCCTGGTAATGAATTTTTTTATATTTTTTTAGATATTATATATTGAATATATACCTGAGGCCAAGTATTTTTTTATATATTTTTATCATGTTATTATTAATATTTTGATTTAGAATTTATTTATAGTATTTTCAGTTGTCAGTTTAATTAGATTTAGTTTCAGTAATTTTGTTATATGCTTTATTTCTAGTGAGGTTTTATTTATTTTTCCATTTTAGTTAATAATTAGTACTAATTTAGTTTGCAATTTAGTAGGTTTAATGCTTCAACTTATTTGATTTCTGTTGGTTGTCAAGGCAGCATTTAAAAAAAAATATATAATTCAATTAATGTTTAGTAGTTTTCGTTAATAACACTGAATGAAATATAGAATTTAAGCTGATTTATAACTTAAATTTATAACTGAATATAAACTTATTTTAATTGGGTTAGTTGACAAGGCAAGTTAAGTTTTTCATCTAATATTTCTATTTGTTTAATTTCAGCTTTATTTTGATTAGCGAAAACAACATTTCATGGTTTTAGTTAACAATAGCAACACTGGTCTAATTTATCCATAAACTGATATCGAGCAAGCTGATTTATGCTGCATATTTGATTTTATGGGCATCATTAAATTATCATATTATTATTATTATAGATAAATCCACTCATTTTTGGCCATTTTTAGATAACTCAAATGTAACATAACTGTGAATATGCCCTGTGTGTTCTGTGCTCTGTCCACTAGCTCCAAGATCTACGGTGACGGAAATGCGGTCCAACGCATCTTGAAGTTCATGCAGTCCATTAACCTTTCTGAGCCACTACAGAAAAAGTTCTGTTTCCCAGCAGTGAAGGAGTGCATCTCTCAAGATATCGACCACATTCTGGAGACACAGAGTGCACTTGCTGTTGACCTGGGAGGGACCAACCTGCGTGTCGCCATTGTCTGTATGAAGGTATGCAGAGCAAACCTCTGGAGTCAGGTGTTGAGATCCAATTAATCTTTTAGAAGATGCGGGACATGCTCTAGGTTACAGAATGTCTGTGTGTTTGCCAGATTGTGACGTGTTTTTTATGCAGCAGGATATGCAGCACTTATGTAAATATTTCATTCATCTGATGCACACAAGTCTGACTGTAAAACAAACAGCAGCAGGTTTGATCAGAAGGGCTGTGTAATCAGCTCTTTCTTTATGTGTGAATGGTGCAGTTTCCTGGACTGCAGACTGACAGATTCAACATTAAATATGTAATTAGTTTAATTTTCTGTATTTGGCCATGGTGAAGCATTGCTGAATATAGACGCACAATTATTTCAGACTGATGTATTTTGCAAAATTACTACAATCTCAAAATGGCTAAATATCAGCCAATTAATCGTATTGGCTGATATATTGACCTGTTATTTCATAAACATCATACTGATGCTCAAGCAGTCTAAAATGATAAAGTAAGTTCCATCTATATTTAAATATGTCCTTGAATGCTGCAGTTTGACCAGGTGTTTTATTGGTTTAGGTGTATAACTATCACAAGCTCCTTCCTTCCAGTCAGAGTGATGAAGAGGTACCAGTTTAAGACAAATAATCAAATCAACAATATAAAAGGAAAAAAAGGACAATCTGTGGTAGCAAATAGAGATTATTTGTGCTGGGTTTTTTTTGTTTTTTTTTAAATTTGCATGCATAAAATTATGTTCAAAAGTATAGGGTCTATAAAAGTGTACTCAGCAAGGTTATATTTATATTTACAAAAATACAGACAAAATGTAATATTGTGAAATATTACAATTATAAATAACCATTTTCGATTTTAACATGTTTTAAAATGTAATTTATTCCTGTGATGCAAAGCTGAATTTTCAGCAGTGTCACATGATCCTTCTAACAAGCTGATCTGATGCTCAAGAAATAATCTCGTATTATTTTTTGTAAAACATTTTTTATTATCAAGAAACATTTCTCAGTATTATCATTATTAGTTGTGCTGCATAATTTTTGTGATACATTTTTTTGGGGGGGATTCTTTGATGAATAAAAAAATCTGCAGTAGAAATCTTTTGTACCATAAATGTCTTTACTGTCACTTTTGATCAATTTAAAGCAACCTTGCTGAAAGTATTAATTTGTTTAGAAAAAAAGAGAGAATTTTTGACTGATCCCAATTGTTTTCAATGGTAGTGTATCTTGCAGAACATAATTGGGGTAAGAAATTAAAGGTGATGTAATTTATTGTGTGATTTTTTTTCCTGCAGAATTTCATTGTGATGGTTTAATAGCAGGTTGCCTATGTTGCTTCATATTTGTTTGTTTTTTTATTTCCTTAGACACAAAGTTAGGCGTAAAAAAATTTATATATTGATATATATTGAAGATTTCATATTGTAAATATGTGCTTGTGTTTCAGGGTAAAGTAGTTAAGAAATATACCCAGTTGAATCCAAAGACGTTTGAGGAGAGGATAGAGCTGATTCTGACCATGTGCAAACAGGCCATGGCTGACGCCGTTCACCTCAACTGCAGAATCCTGGGTGTCGGTATGTCTGCGTTTGTCCTGAGTCTTTTTCTATGTGTCTGTAAATTCACTCACTCATTCACTGTCTATTTCTTTCAGGTGTGAGCACAGGGGGCCGTGTGAATCCACAAGATGGGATAGTCCTCCACTCCACCAAGCTAATAAATGAGTGGAGTTCGGTGGACATCCGTACACCCATTTCTAGCGCCCTTCATCTCCCTGTGTGGGTCGATAATGATGGCAACTGCGCCGCCCTTGCTGAGAGGAAGTTTGGCCACGGGAAAGGCGTAGAGAACTTTGTCACCATTATCACTGGAACCGGTCCGTTCCTATTATTATGTCCCTTACTGCTAGTTGCTAGGATGGTGGGCTTTCCCTTTGTTTGATAATGCAAAGAATAAGACCTGGCAGAGAGTGGAATTAAAGGGTTAGTTCACCCAAAAATGAAAATTAGCCCATAAATTACTCACCCTCAAGTCATCCTAAGTGTATATGACTTTCTTCTTTCAGATGAATCCAGTCGGAGTTATATCAAAAATTTTCTTTGATCTTTCAAGCTGTTTAATGCCACTCAGCAGGCGTTGCATGCATCAGTCCAAAAGAAGTTAAATAAAAATTTCCATTAAAAAAAGTGTCTCACACGGCTCCGGGGGGTGAACAAATTCGCGGCCTCCTGCAGCGAATCGATGCATTTTTGTAAGAAAAATATCCATATTCAAAACGTAATAATCACTTTAATCTAGCTTGTGGCAACAGTTGTACACAGAAGCAGTTCCGGGCTGACGACGGAACTAACCCTTTAAAGTTGTCACACTGTTTACTGTTTTTACCGTTTTTTACTTTTGCCTACCCCTTTTCATAGAAGGGTAAACAGTACTATTTATCTCTGATTTTTTTTTCCCATTTGAAAAGGTAACAGCTGTAGGTAACTCTCTTTGTTTAAATGACATATCAATTATATTATATACTATATTAATATTTTTTAATATATATATACACTCCACCATTCAAATGTTTGGGGTCAGCAAGATTTTTTTTTGAAAAATGCATACTTTTATTGAGCAAGGATGCATTAGATTGATCAAAAGTGACAATAACATACACTTATAATGCTACAAAAATGTTATATTTCAAATAAATGCTGTTTAAAAACTTTCTATTAATCAAAAAAATTTTATCACAGTTTCCACCAAAACATTAAACAATGCAACAGTTTTCAATATTGATAATAAGGAATATTTCTTGAGCATCAAATCAGCATATTAGAATAATTTATGAAGGATCATGTGACATTGAAGACTGGAGTAATGATGCTGGAAATTCAGCTTTTCCATAACAGGAATAAATTATATTTTAAAATAAATTATAATGGAAAACAGATATATTAAATTGTAATAAAATTAAATTGTGTTTTACGCTATTACTGTTTTTCTGTTATTGATCAAATAAATGCAGCCTGGGGAAGAGACTTCTTTCAAAAACATTTTAAAAAGTCTTATCTACCTCAACTTTTTGAACAGTTTTAAGTTACTTTTATGTTTGTTCACTTAGATTTTTTCCATTTCAGTTATGAACTTTTATAAAAGATTTCTAAACCATTATTTTGCATTACATGCAAATATTTTGACTGTATCCTATTATATTTATAGTAAGTCATGGGGACAAACATGGCACACTAATTATGTCTTTTTCTGAGAGTGAACTAGGAAATGTGAAATAATAATGGTTTTCTCTTTAATTGATACAGGTGTGTGTATTTTCTGTTATTGATCAAATAAATGCAGCCTGGGGAAGAGACTTCTTTCAAAAACATTTTAAAAAGTCTTATCTACCTCAACTTTTTGAACAGTTTTAAGTTACTTTTATGTTTGTTCACTTAGATTTTTTCCATTTCAGTTATGAACTTTTATAAAAGACATCTAAACCATTATTTTGCATTACATGCAAATATTTTGACTGTATCCTATTATATTTATAGTAAGTCATGGGGACAAACATGGCACACTAATTACGTCTTTTTCTGAGAGTGAACTAGGAAACGTGAAATAATAATGGTTTTCTCTTTAATTGATACAGGTGTGTGTACAGTATGAGAGTATTAGAAATACATGATCAAACAGATTTCTAATGCCGTGTACCTGCATAAAGACTAAAACTGATATAATTGTTACTTATGTTTGACTTCTGTGATTCTGCCTGTAATTACCTTTGCCTTATGTTTATATGTGCAGGAATTGGAGGTGGTATAATCCAGCATAATGAACTGATCCATGGCAGCACATTTTGTGCGGCAGAATTGGGACACATTGTGGTCTCTTTGGAAGGACCAGAGTGCATGTGTGGCAGCCACGGCTGCATAGAGGCCTACTCATCAGGTCTCGCCCTGCAGAGAGAAGCCAAGAGACTCCATGACGGTAACACAACAGTTACTCTAAAACACACTTATCAGCCTCACCCAGTCTAATTTATTTATTTTAGTGACTTTTTATTTGAATTTATTGTTTGTAATATGATCCCATTAATGGATTAGCTAACAATAATCAATATCATTTGTTAAAAAATCATGTTACAATAAAAATAGAACTGTTCATTTTTTAGTTCATATATATATATATATATATATGTTTTTAATATGACATAATATTACAAAATTTGACTAAATTACTAAAACTGATTTACTGCTGTTAACCTGACATTGTCATTATTATTATTTTTTGTATCAAAATAAAAATGTATTTAAATACTGTTTATTAATTATTATTTTTAAATTATACTGTATACAGTAGTTAGTGTCATAAAAAAACTTAAACAGGTTCAATATAGTTAGCAGTTTTGTTAGCAGCATTTAATATCTATAATTTAATAACATTTAATATCTGTAATTGTTAGATAATAATAGTTTTGAAGCTTTTCTAAAATTAATAAACACAAGGATTTTATTTTTATGGTCTCATTCAGAATCATTAAATGTGAAAACCAGTCATAAGGGTCAACTTTTTGAAACTGAGATTTATACATCATCTGAAAGCTGGATAAATAAGCTTTCCATTGATGTATGGTTTGTTAGGATAGGACAATATTTGGCCGAGATACAACTATTTGAAAATCTGGAATCTGAGGGTGCAAAAAATCAAAATACTGAGAAAATCGCCTTTAAAGTTGTCCAAATTAAGTGATTATTTGATTAGTAATATGCAGCAATGCATATTACTAATCAAAAATTAAGTTTTGATATATTTACGTTAATACATTTACAAAATATCTTCATGGAACATGATCTTTACTTAATATCCTTTTATGATTTTTGGCATAAAAGACAAATCTATAATTTTGACCCATACAATGTATTTTTGGCTGTTGCTACAAATATACCCCAGCGACTTGAGACTGGTTTTGTGATCCAGGGTCACAAATAATAGTAACGTCCTAAGGTTTGGTTTGTAATACAGGAGTTGTGCATAACAAATGTTACCAAGTTAAAGTAAAACATTGTAATTATGTGTTTCTTTCATGTTTGATGACAGAGGACTTGCTGTTGGTTGAAGGAATGACTGTGAATAACAAAGAACAGGTGAACGCTATTCATCTCATCAACGCTGCTCGCCTTGGCAACTCCAAAGCTGAGAGCATACTCCACACAGGTAAGACGCATATTCAAGTACATACATTATTCTCAAGCAGGTTTGTGGTGAAGAAAAGCACTGATAGTCTCTCTACTCTTCCCTAACAGCGGGAACTGCCCTGGGGTTGGGGATTGTGAACATCCTGCACATGATCAACCCGTCTCTGGTCATCCTGTCTGGTGTCCTGTCAGAGCACTATGAGAATCCAGTTCGTCAGGTGATCAGTCAGCGAGCTCTCCTCTCGGCGCAGGGGACCAAAGTCATGGTGTCTGAGCTGGAGGATCCTGCGCTGCTGGGTGCCGCCAGCATGGTACTGGACTACACCACCCGCCGCACTTACTGAAAGAGCTGGAAAACCAGGAACCAGTCATTTACAGACTCAAAGACCAAGGGCCAATCATGTGCTATGTCCTTGTTAGGATCATAGTGGCTTTTAAGCTTGACCTTAAAAACTTTTATTTGTCTAGTTTTTACTTTAGTCACATATAGGTGCTATATTATTTGGGATCAATTGCCTATTGTAAGGTGTGTAATTTTGAGGAATGGTTTAAGTATATGAAGGATGGTTTTATTTAATATTTGTACACTGAAACTAAGGGATATTTGTTGCAGAGAGGCCGCTATAAAAAACTGCTGTGGTTTAATCACCAGTTCTGTCTGTTTTGCTTTCTGTTGTTTGGATTTTTCATGGAGACAGCCACGTTGTCCTTTGCACCTTACGCTGATCTGTTGCCAAGCCTTTATTGTGTTTTCAGCACCGTATGCTTAGGTTTATCGATTCACTCAGCCTGTATGAATGAATCAATAAACTGGACAAATGTTTGTCCAGTATGTCTACTCTAATATTTAATGTCACAGATATGTACATTAAAAATGATTAAACACAAAATGTACTTTTATTGCCAGTGAATTGATTTAATATGTTAGAGTCCTGCAATACACTTATAAACTTGAAATCTTAATATTGATATTTGCAGAATATTATGTGTGTGTATATATATATATATATATACAGTGGGTACGGAAAGTATTCAGACCCCCTTAAATTTTTCACTCTTTGTTATATTGCAGCCATTTGCT